GGCTGAGCCCCGACCCCGGCCAGAAGAGGGTCATGGGCCAGACCAGGAACATTATCGCGCAGATCTTCGCGGCCGACGGCTTCCGCGGATTCTACCGCGGATACGTGGCCTCGCTGCTCACCTACATCCCGAACAGCGCCGTCTGGTGGCCTTTCTATCACTTCTATGCTGGTAAGTAGCTGGACTCAAAGGGGACGTATTACGCAAAACCAAGTTTTTAATCATTTGATTATGTTAGAAACTGGCAGGTTACCTCCTGCTAATCGCTAACCGACTAGTCAAGGATAAAAACAAAGACCCCAAAATTTAACTGAATTTGGACAAGTTAGTGTCTTAGGTTACTGATGTTATTGTGGCCGGTGGCCCGCATTAAAGGGGAAATATTACGCAAAACCAAGTTTTTAATCGTTTGATTGTGTACATTTGGGACTGTGGAGGGCCTATCAGCAGGCAAAGTGTGGAAAAAAATTGACTCAGTCATGTTTTTGTGGGCCGGCTGGAATATTATAATGAGCTAGAGCTAATGACGTCAGAAACTACCCACTCCTGAAACCTCCTGATTTATCTCCTGGATTCAGACTGAGGCGGCCCACAAACACATGACCCAGTCATTTTTTTTTCACACTTTGCCTGTTGATAGGCCCTCCACAGTCCCAAATGTACACAATCAAACGTTTTAAAAACTTGGTTTTGCATATTATGTCCCCCAAAGGATCTTCCCAAGGGATCAATAAAGTACAAGTCTAAGTCTAAGTATCTGAAGCATATTATACCCTTATTTATTAGGAATCTTCCTCTTAGCTCAGTTTCTGTTATTCCTAGTGAGGAGAGCTCATGAATGACTTCCTGGAGAAAAACATAATCTCTTTTTTGTGCTCTCTTTAAGGACATCTGCTCAGATTATTGAGTTGTATAGTCAGTGATAACACATCAGAGAACACAGTGAAAACATGCTTAGGTCATCTGTCTGTCCTTATTCTATTCAGATTATATGAGAGACAAATAATAAAATCAATGTCACAGAGGTGACTTTATTACAGAGTAAATTAGACTTGTCCCGATCCGATATCTGTATCAGATCAGCCAGCAGGAGAAAATGCAGATCCAGACTCCAGATCCAGTTTATTTATCCAGTTTAAGTCTGATCCCACACGAGCATTAGCATTAGCATCTATTACCCACAGGTCTGTGTCCTAACCATTAAGTTGTTATCAGAGTAAATCCCTGTTCAACATGAGTCTGACAACTAAGTAAGTAGATAAATAACTTTAGACTTTAATAAATGCTCTGATAGGCCGGGATCAGGATCAAATTGGAAGTGAAAAAAGCTGGATGGGGACCTCCCTAGTATGGAGAGTGTTTTTAGAATGAATCATCCACTTCTAAGTGTCCTATCAGCGTCTTTCTGCCCTCTGTGTCTATTATCTCATCGTTATTGTGGTGGAGATTTCCACCCGGTTGAACCTGGTCTTATAAATGTCTGAAACCCTCCACAGAGCAGCTCTCCAACCTGGCCCCCAGCGACTGCCCCCACCTGGTGCTGCAGGCCGTGGCCGGACCCCTGGCTGCCGCCACCGCCTCCACCGTGACCAACCCCATGGACGTGGTCCGGGCCCGGGTCCAGGTACAGGGCTCCTCTCACACCGGTTCATGTCCTAGAGCCACCAAACAGTAACGCATTTCTTTTTATTTATTTATTTATTTTTTTAAAGATTTTTTTTGGCTCTAGTGGCCTTTAATGATAGTAGCTTGACAGGAAAGGGGGCAGAGATAGAGAGGGGGAGACCTGCGGGAAAGGGCCATGGGCTGGATTCGAACCCAGGCCGCCCGCTTGCGAGCACAGGCTCTATATATGGGCCGCCCGCTCTAGCCATTAGGCTACTGCTGCGGCCCATTATTGCACGCTAATTTGATCAAAATAATTTCTGTTTTTTTTCTTCATGTGTTGTTGAGGGGCCAAAGAAAGACTTCAGACAAAAAAACCCCAATATTCTTCCTATTTTTCTTGGACGCATTTCTGTGTTTATTCATCAAAATACCACACATGCCAAAGGCACATTCAGAAGAGAGTTTCCTGTCTGATTTGATGGAGTAGTATTTACTACACAGGCAGGTTATTCTAGGCTGGTCCCGATCAGATGTTTTATTTATGGAGCTAGTATATATGAAAGTATTTCTGATTCTGATATCTAGATCAGAAAAAAAGGGGGAAAAAAGTTTATTCTAGGCTGGTCCCGATCCGATATTTGGATCGTATCGGCCGGCAGGAGAAAATGCAGATCCAGACTCCAGATCCATTTTTAAAAAAAAGTCCGATCCCACATTAGCATTAGCATTAGCATCTCCTAACCCACAGGTCTATGTCCTAACCATTAAGTTGTTATCAGAGTAAATCCCTGTTCAACCCCATGGACGTGGTCCGGGCCCGGGTCCAGGTGGGTTTACTCTGATTGGCTGGTGATTCCTCCTAAAAGCCAAAGTGGTGATTTCTCAAAACCATGACGCGTTTAAACCTCTTTATGAAAGGAGAACAGTCTTTACTACTACTAGCTGTGATCTCAAAAGATTGTTAAAAAATTGCGAATACATATATAAATGCATAATTCCACTAATGTACGTTAGTTACCTTTGTATTTAAAATGACAAGCGTTCCAATGTCAGAATAACAGAAATCTCTCCTTTCTTTGTTAAAATGTTCATGTTTATATAGATAAACTAATATAAATATATATAATGGTGTGTTGCCCAGTCTTAAGCTAAGGCCTTGTGTGTGTGTGTGTGTGTGTGTGTGTGTGTGTGTGTGTGTGTGTGTGTGTGTGTGTGT